GACCAGGCTGGCCTTGAACTCACAGAGATCCGCCTGCCTCTGCCTCCCAAGTGCTGGGATTAAAGGCGTGTGCCACCATGCCCAGCTGAAAAATAATTCTTTATCTCAGAAAATGACTCTCTTCTACTCAGTTCCTTATAGAATTTCTTCTCACCACCAAGTGGAGAAGAAAGCCTGAACCTTCAGCACCTGGAGGGTCAACACATTTCTCTTGTAACAGAACCAAGGCCAGGTTTGGATTCACCTGATCTACTGATCTCTCTGTCCATCAATGATTTTACATACTTCCTAAATCATCCCACCCCAGAATTATGTAGATTCTATGCCCCACCTCACCTGTTTTTTAGAAAACCCAAGCCATCTATTATTGATAATAAGTTGAGGCAGAGAAGAAAACAGACAAACTTCTACAGAGACACCAGAGTATCAGCTATAGTGCCTGAACAGCTCCTGGGTTTCTAAATCATTGTTTCTCCTCCAAACACAGATAATTTTAAAAGAAAAATAATATTCCCAGTGTCAGCATGGATAACAAAGAGATGTAATGACCTCATTGGTCCACCCCCTTGCGTAGCAGAGATGATTCTGACTGCAGTGTTTGCTCATCAGCCTGAACAAGCTTCAAAACCCCAGAACTTTCAACATCTCTGTTCACCCACACATGGTAGCTCACCCACCTGGTCCAGAAAGGAACAGAAACATCTCACCCCTCACCTTCTCCCTGAGTTGCCAGTAAAGCAAACACCCTTCCTATCCTATGTCCCTTGGTCACCCAGGCAGAGATTAGAAAAGGTTTCCTTTCTGGTCCTTCCTTTTTGCTCATTCACTATGACAACTATAAATGACATCTCCATGAAGCCATCTGCCTCCAGCCTGTGCCTCACTCTCTGCAGATGGGACCCAGATTTGATTATGGAGATGCCAGATATTTCATCCCAAGGAGTCGCTTAACAAAGGTGGTAAATTTTTGTATCATGTATCTACAGATCAGTTAAAAAGACTTCCTCATAAAAATATCAGACATTAAACATCTACACTAATGCTACCTTTGAAAAAATAAAATATTTAGAAACTGTGTACTAATTCTACCTGTACCAATAAATGAAAAACATCTATGGGAATAAAGGTGCTTGCCACCAAGCCTGATGACCTGAGTTCAATCCCTGGGATCTACATGGTAGAAGGAGAGAACTGGATTCCATGTTGTTCTCTAACCTCCACATGTGCCTGGTAGCACATATGCATCCACATACATACATACATACATACATACATACATACGTATGTACATACATACATACATACATACACACATACATTCATAAAATATAAAATTAAAAAGGGGGCTGGAGAGATGGCTCAGCCAGTGGCTAGTAGCACTGGCTGTTCTTGCAGATGACCCAGGTTTAGTTCTCAGCACCCACATGGTGGCAAACAAATGTCTGTAATTCCAGTTCCAGAGGATCCAATGCCCTCTTCTGACCTTCACAGGCAATGCACAACACATGTGCACAAGCAAGCAAAGCACTCACACATAAAATAGAAATAAATTTTTAAAATAAGGGCCAGGCATGGTGGTGCATACCTTCAATTCAGGAACTTGGGAGGCAGAAGCAGGTGGATCTCTGTGAGTTCAAGGCCAGCCTGGTCTACACAGTGAGTTCTAAGTCAGCTGGGGCTACAGGGAGACCCTGTCTCAAAAAGAACAAAAACAAAAAACAAAAACAAAAATTAAAAAGGAAGAAAAAGAAAAATATCCATGGAAGTCTTCTCAGGCCTGTCCCCCGAGCTCTTCCATTCACTGTTTACCATTTACAGAATTGCTGCCCAAGGCCAAGCATCCTACCATGCTAAGCACCGGACTGTGAGGATGACTAGAGCATCACTCCTCCTCTCAAGGAGCATGTTACCTAAGGGATGGAGAAAACACAGATGTAGGTAAGCCACAACTCAATACCATTCTTCCAGGCTCTACATAAGTACTGAAGGGAATAGAGGAAAAAGAGATCAGCTCCCACTGGAGGACCTGGGAAAGACAGTTTCACAGAAGGCATAGCCTTAATGGATAGATGGCCGCAGGAGAAGGTGGGGTAGGGACATGTGAACAGACAGAACAGCAAGTCTGAACCCTGAGCCAGTAAAAGGTGAGGAATACTCAGAGTGATGAGAAAAAAAGTCAAGAGGCTCCAGAAGGAGCACAAAATGGGACTGAGGAAGGCCTTGCTTGCCAGACTAAGTGTAGACACTCCTCTGAGCAATGGCACGCTAAACACAGGATAATGACAGGACAGCTTGCATTTGGAAGGACACAGTAGAGTACAGAAGAACCAGAGATCATAAGAAAGGAATATAATACTATTTACTCAATGACAACTATATGTCAGGCTCGGACTGCTCTTGACAGACTTGATCTCATTTTCCCAGCAGTCATAAGAAGCAATAATAAAAACAATAAGAAGAGAGAGCATTTATTGAGTTATAACTCTGGACCAGAGAGTATGCACAGGTCTTTAACCTTCAAAAAATAACCTAATGACTAAGCATCACTGTGTCCATTTTTATAGTCCTGAGACTTGGATCTTAAGTAACCTGCAAGGGTCAGCAGCATAAAGAGTCGAGTCAGGACTCACAATTAGGTGTGTCAGACCTCACCACCAACAGCCTTTGCACTGAAGTAGTTACTCAGGCAAGAGGTTAAGAGATGAAATTGAGGCACTGTATTAAGAAACAAGAGACAGTTCTGAAGGAGAACCAGAGGGAGGTGAGAAAGCAGGAACGGCAAGCAGGAACGGCAAGGAGTCCAGGCTGACTGCTAGCCTGTGAGCTCAACAGTCTGAATGA